CATGCAAGTTATTGCTGATCTGTATAATCCAAAATAAGCAAGGTAACCCTTTGAGAAATGCAGAAATTATTAATTTCTATATTAAGGGAGGAAAGTAATGTGTTAATTTGGGATGGTGTTTTTTTAATATTAAAAGTTGACAGGAAATTTGAGAATATATGAATTTCAAGTGCTTGCAGAATATGATCTGCAAGCACAGAAACATGCAAACACCCTATGGTTTGGGTAAGGAAGAGCTGTGATGAATTGTATCATCATCCCTCACCTATCTTCCTACTACCCACCTATCCTCCTCTCACCCCTGCCTGGCTCTACTCCTCCTGACCTTTCAATACCCTCTGCCTTCCTATCCAGAGGTGAGGCTTGTACCCAGTCTAACTGGGCCAAATGCACAGACTCAAACCACTGTGTCAACCAAGCACCCGACAACTCTGGTGCTTGAACTTCTACAAGTACTACCTAGTAGGTTTTTCATATCAAATTTTAAAACCATGCCATAAGCAGGACTTGGGTCAAAGTGCAAACTCAAACCACTGAGCCAGTCAAGTAACTGACCACTTAAATGTTTGAACGTCTATAAAAACCACAAGGTAGACTTTGTGAAATTTTAAAACCATGTTAACATGGTTAACCAAAAAAGACAAGTTTGGTCTCCATCCTTCCGTTTATGCAGCCGACCTCTACATAGTTGATTTCACTTTAAAAGTGGTCTGTCCATTTGTCAGTGGTTTGTCAGGGGAGGCATGAAAGTTCAAAAATGGTCACATTTTTAAAGTGGAATCAAGTATGTAGGTTACAGCCAGCTACACATTGGTTGTTTTGATGTCCATTTATATCAACCTATGTATTTGAGGCTTTAGGTGGTTTATCTTTTCTTTTAAGACGCAACTATAGTATTGGAAAAAGATCCCAGTTAAAATGTCCAGTTTCCATAAATAGCTATTACTATGCTGGAATTTAATATATAAAATAACTTTTCCCCACACAAATAAATTTGGAATAAAGACATCTGCTTTAAACATAAATGTATTTTTCTTTGAAAATTGTTGGACGAAGGTATTGTTTGTGTACATCAACTTTTCAACAAAGATGATATTTTTATAATGAATTTCTGACCACATCATTTTCCTGTACTCCCTATTGTGTATTTGATGCTATTCCTTCTGGGGTGAAAATGTTATTGTCTTCCTCTGTTTAACAATTATTCATTGACCCATTTTTAAGTACAAAAACTAATACATGTATTGAAGAACTAACAATAAGAGATCATATAACCAAACCAGCTTCTACTTCACAATGATATTTGCTAGAAAGAAGTTTGGTTATTGCTGAAAAAATACTTTAATAATAAGACTGGAGAAGTGTCTAAAGATTCTGCATAGATGTTATACTGTTAATAGTAAAATATTTAAATATTACCCAAATGTGCACCCACTGTGTTCATTTTGTCACAACTGCTCTTATACATCTTTTAGCCTACTTTATATCTTCTCTGAGTAAATTTGGTTGGTGTTGGTTATATTTTCATGGTTGTAGGAAACAAGCAGCAGTAAGTTTTCCCCTTAGACTTATAATTACCTGACCAAGTGCTTGTGATGTCACCTTTGAATGAAAGTATAATTTAAAACAGATGCCGCAGGAAGTACACCACACATTAACTTGCACTGGGGGAAAAAAATGGAAGACAATGCATTTTACTTTAAACACGTAAAAGGAAATATATTTTCTTTAAAAATGAAATAACAAAAAGAACATTTTTTTTCCAGAGGAGCTGCTTCTGTCGTTGCAGAGGTAATTTACACAGGACATGAAATAAAACACCACACTGAAAGTGGCCAAAACAGCTGCTACACCACAAGTTCAAACAACTCTCTAGATTTGATGTCATCAGGCCTCCTTCTGACTGCAGGTAGGGGAGCGCTGTGCCACTTTTGGTAAAGTGTGAGAAAGTTATGTCACATACTGAGCTTCTTTTCAGGATTAATATACACTGGCTCTTGGTAATTCACTCGTATGACGTACGCACCATTGAGACATTTACACACAAAATTATTTTCTTGCCTCCAAAACAAGAATACTTTTCATATTTTTAAAGACGACAGGTAACAGTTTCTGAATCAGTGGCTTTAGGGCTGAAAGCTCTTTTCTGTCACTTTAACGAGCAATGGCTCTCCGATGGGCTAGAAGAACACGGTCGTGGCAGTCTGCCTGGCAGAAACCAGGGGTGTGCATAGGTGGTAAGAACGTTTTCCGCCCCCTCCAGGCTCTGGTAAGGCAGGTTCTCCTTTTGGTTTTGGGTCATCTTCCAGTTTTAGAGCCCATCTTTGTTAAAGTCGATGCTTTTCATCTGCTGATTGTGTCTTAAGGAATCGTGTCGGTACCTCCTGATTGCGTTGTGGGGAAGAGGGCAGAATAAAATCAAAGCCAAGGTGACAAAATGTACGCTTTTTTTTGAATGTTTCTTCATGGTCCATTTTGTGCAAACCGACATGTAAACAATAGACCGTCAGTGGTTTGTCAGGGGAGGCATGAAACGACAGCAACAGAGGGATGCAGTGTGCTCCTTCAACAGGCTGAAAGGCACAGAGGGTCAGTGAAATAATAGATAAAGGGGGGGGGGGAAGAGAACCGATTTGCAGTGCTTTTTCCTTCAACCAAACCTACACTGAGAGCTCAGGGAGTTGTCGCCACGGTAGCAGCTTCAGATGTGCTTCAAAGGTCGGCTTGTTTGTCACAGAGGCCAAGGGTCTGGGGGATGTTAGAGAGAACACACAGTACCACAAGAAGTGCCTTCAAAAAGGCCAACACACACACAGGCAACTCCATAGGACTGTTTTATGGTCATGCTTGCTTTTGCCTTTTCCAATATTTTCATCCATCCATCGATTACAAAATGAAAATTACAAAATATCTACTACACTGCTCCACCACTCCCCACCTTCGACTATGAGGACAGAAACATATTCATGTAATTTTATCATTTATATATACACGCATATGTATATATGTACATGTCAATGAGCCTTTCAGGCTATTGAGAGAGATGGGTAGGAGGCGGGATGAAGTGTGCAGTCATTGTTCTTCATTTCCCCACTTTTTAAACATCAGTTTATCTACAGAAACGAGACTAATGAGAGATGCGAGTCGAGGAAGCGACAGAGTTCAGATTCCTGGTGGAGGGAGGAGGACAGGGAGGATGTTTGTCAGTAGACCCAGGAGACGGGAACCCACTGAGCGGTGCTGGACACCAGGTCCACGGCCTCCTCCAGCAGGCGAATGGTGTCATCGATCTCGTTGTTGATGATGGTCTGGTCGAAATAGTGAGCGTAGGTTCGCTGCAGCATCTCTGACTCCTTCTGGAGCCGCTGCAGGGAATCGTCCTGCGGGGTGGAGGACAGAATAGAAAACATATCAACTCTGCCTCCAATTTACCTGCTGAGGAAACCTTCAAAATTCCCTTAATGTTGAGGGGTAAGATGTATTCAGACGAAAGAGTAACACTACAAGTCACACAATAAGGGTCTAATGGAACTTTTTGGGAAATACGAACAAGAAATGTCACTACAGACAAAACTCACACATCCATACTTACAGGCAATTTTCTGCACCACTTTGGGATCTTAGGTGCAAGTGATAAAAAGCATGCCGAAGAAAATACAAACATGCTTAAAACAAGCAGGATATTTATAGTGAGATAAAGCATGAAAGAAAGAAAAAGGTTAGCAAAAGGTGGCTTGACATTTGTTTTCTTTGTTTGAATTCAGTTGGCAGCTTGATTCTCTTAAGATATTCCTTTAATCTCAATGATTGATGAATTGCTTTTGAATCCAAACTAAGAAGTAGGACGTATGTAAACAAGCAGGATCAGAGATATGGGAGACCGTACCTCAGTCATTCCAGGGGTGATGGTGGGGGCCGCAATGAAAACAACATACGGAGCAAACTCTGCGGTCCTCAGGATCTTTAATGCCTGATGGGGAAGAAAAAGCTCGACTTAAAGATGTTATTCTGTCTCACTGACAGATGGCTGACGTCTAATTAATGACGCCTGCATAGAGACCCATTAGCGATAAGATTTGTTATCTTATCACTAATAGGTCTTTGGTCGTAACGGAGTCAACCAAGAGACAGAGTTTAAAATAAATTGCCAGTAACCTGGAAAAATTATCAGGTTGACATGTACTTTTTAAAACTAAAAGCGTTTAATTTGCATATTTATTATCTATTGTGAAGGCCGCCCCAGAGCCAAAGTAAGTCACTCACGTCTCTGTAGATTTAGTGCTTAATTACTTCATCTTTATTGCCAGATTGTCAATGTTGCAAAGTGAAATATTTCTAAAGAAATCAACTCTCTCTCTCCATGCAGTTTTGAGAAAACAGTATTTCATCTCCCCTAGATTGCTTGTTTTTGCATTTTTGTTCAATATTTTAGATTGAAACATTTTTAATATCATTAATATAACTGAGTGAATACAACATCAAACTTTACTTATTTTTCAGAGAAGAGTTTAAGGGTCATAGTTTCAATTTGGAAATGTCTTTTGAACCCTTTCCAGACTGATAGGCGACAGTGACTTTTTCTTGTATCAAGTTTGAAAGATTTGTTCATTTTTGACAGGAACGTCCTCCTGGAGTACCTGCGGCTCCACATCCAGGATGGCGATCATGCCCTGAGCGTGGATTTGCCTGATGGTCTCCAGCCTGGTTCCGTACATGGCGTCCTCATGGCTGCCGTACTCCAAGTAATCGTTGTTGCTGATGTCTTGCATCATCTGGTCATGAGACACAAAGTAGTAGTTCTTCCCGTTCTCCTCGTCCTTCTTGGGAGGCCGAGTGGTGTCTGAACCCAGAGACAAATGGGTGGGTGTCAATTCAAGGACAGGTTGCAAAAACCACCTAAAACATCTGCATGTTCTTACGAGGAATTGGATAGGCAAAGCGGTCTGGGTGTTTGGCAATGAGTGTGTTCTTGATGTGCCGCCTTCCAACTCCATGAGCACCTGAATGTTTACGCAAGACATCAGAGGGTTCATTTAAACAAGAATACAAATGGCTCTGAACACAGAACTAAACTAAGGTAGACTTGACATAAATGGTGTAGTACTTTCAAAATGAGAAAGCTTTTGTTGTAGTTGGCGTATGGCAAGTTTTTTTGGCATTTATTTGAAAGTTTCCAAGACACTCTTTAGGCCATTGTAGATCAAAGAAAAAAATGCCACAGAGGACTAAATGTTGAAAAACCTTGAATATTCTCTGATGTCAAAAAGTTGTACATTTGTATAAAGAAAAGGATATTCTGTTACATTGCAAAGTGAAAACTTTGCATGGAATTCTTTTGTTACAACGCTGGACATTTGTGACAGAAAATCCCAGAATGCCTCTTAAGATTGAAGTGTTGCATTTCTGAGATGTGCATCTCCATTTTTCCAAAGTGTAAGCTTGTGTTACAAATGTGTGAGTTTTTGTTGGGAACATTTAAGAGGCTTTTCTCTCTGCCATTTTTCATGCAAATTTAAAACGTTTTGACATCACAGAATATCATTTTTGGCAGAAATTTCCATGGTCACATTTTTTCCCCCCCACATTTCATTTATCACTGCCCTGATACTTTGTAAGTTTGGCATTTTAATTCACAATGTTAATAACTCTTACAAGTCACGTGGGCTTCTAATCTCCTTTTAGAAACTGAAATGCAATTAGACAAGTGTGGGAAAATATGCTTTCAGGTTTAAGACTCCATGACTCAGTACTTTGTAGTGCTGTTACCACAGCTCTGCTGATTGCAGAAGTCTCTTAATGCGTTACTGTTAAAAGTGGTTTTAGTTCAGTTGAAGAAGAAACTAATAGAGGAAACAAATGTTGAAGAAAATGCTATGGGCCACTACAACAACCCAGTGAAGCAGCAAATGTCTGAATTAATTAGTTGGAAACCAAGAATCTGGGAGTAATTGTGAATTTTTGCTTCAGATTGTATCCACAACTAAACAATACTCTGCTCACTTTTAAATTGGACAAACTACACTGTGGACACAAGTTGTAGCTTATATGTAAAATTTCAGAAACAAACACCAATTAGCAAACTGTGACCCGTTTTGGCATTAGTTCACTGATGGATTCTGACAAAGTACACAGAAAAACACCAAAGAAATATTTTTGAAGTAATTAGAACAATAAAACTCATAACAGAGCACAAGTTGATTTACTTCAAGCGTTCGTTACAGGTAATTATGACTTCAAACAAATTTACATCTTGTTTCAGTTTTTTTTTTACCAAGCAAGACAAGTGTTTTCCTCTTGAACGACGGCAGCTTGACGACCTCCTCGTATGTCACCAGATCTAGTTGATCAAACACTGAAGAACAGAGGAAAAGGCTACATTAGCACGGTTGTTCGTGGTAACTTCATATATATTTAATAACTAGTTATATCAAAACAATGAAGCCCCGATCACGTACTTAATCACTACTTAATCAGTCCTATTTGCAACTAAGCCTCAATCAGATTGAAAAACAGATCAATCTGAATCACATTGCTTTTAACAAATCACATCTGAGCATCTTATAACAAAGCAGTCCTCATTCAAAGTCAAGGAAACATTAGGAAAAAGGACAAAGAGTAAAGAGAAGGAAGAACACCGAACTTTACTTACATGCAGCCATGTCATTGGGTAAGAGACGGCATGAAATATGGACAAAGGGGTGGGAGCGGAAGGGTTAATAAAAGAACAATTCAACTAAAAACACATTAACCACAAACTTTCAACAGCACAAGCTGTTAGTCACTTAAAAACTCAGCAGCATAGCGCAGGGCATTCAGAGGGAAAACACACATGCAGTCTGAACCGTTTCTAAATGCAGCAATGTGATTGGACCAGCTACACTTCACTGCATCGTTAAAACAACTGGCACTACTGAGAAGCACAAAGAGGTTAAATCCTGTCTCACAAGTCAAACTTTTCACTACTTTCAAATCTTTACATATTTATTATTGTATGAACATTCAGGCAAGTTAAAAAGAGGTAGTCGTTTTTCTTACCTGCGTTGTGCTTGGCCAGATATTTATCTTTGTACTGTTTCTTCTTCTTGCCAAACCAGGTGCAGCTGGCCTGCTGCTCCTGCTTGGTCTTCTCCATAGCTATACACGCTACACGCCTGAAGACACAAAAGCAACGTAACTTTAACTTAAATTTATCTCTACATATTTTAAACATCTTCTTTAAAGAATTCTAAGACTTCTTTTTTTTTTTTTTAAATTGTTCTCACCACTCTTGCAGCTCCGGCGAGGGGATGAGGCCTGCCGTGCCGTTCTTGGTGTTCTCCAGCTTTCCCTGCCACCAGTTGTGGTCGTCCTTGGAGATGATCTGGATAATATCGCCAACGCGGAAGCGAATGCCTGCCTCCTTACAAGGGATAAGGTCATCCTTCGCCGGGTCGTACTCAAACTGAGCACGTACGTAAATCTGCAGGCGCAACACAGAGAGACCCGAGTGTTTTACCTACTGACATGGCACAGAATGATCCTGCAGTCATGAGAGAAGAGGATTTGCAAAGCTGCTTGTATAAAAAAAAAAAGAGAACTGCAAAATTGTTAAGAAAGAAAGCTACTGGAAGCTCAGGTGTATATAAGCCGAAGCAGGAAGAGAAGCGCACACATGGACAGAGATGATTGTACGAAGAGCTGTTCTGCGTCTTTGCCTGCGGATGTGTCCGTTTGGGTTGATGGCGTGTGCACCAATTGTTTTGTGGCCTTTCACCACCACTAGTGAAGGTTTGAGAAGCAGCACGGGATCAGAACAACACTGTGATGACGTACCAAACTGTGCAGTGTGAAATGGCGGGAGCTGGGATCTACTTCTACAAAAAAACGGTGGGGGAGGGAGGGAGATCCACTTGGTTTTACTTCTTACCTTGATGGACAATTTGTCCTTGATGGCAGGTCTGGAGATCTAAGGGGTTGAGAGCATCACACACACATGTATCATGCAGTAGAAAAAGAAAATTGGCGCTCATAAACAAAGGAAGTGTGATGGGGACCCATTAGAGGATGTTATGTACAAATATCCGTACTGCATTTTATACGTCTGTGTGTGTGATGTTGGAATACAATCAAAGAAGCCTGCCTTGTGTACACATTTAGAAAAATTGCAAGGAGGGGAACCGACAGACTAGAGTGCAGCTATGCTAAGATAGAACAGCGAGTTTCACCTGACGGCCTTTGGGCTGAATCGTCGAAGGCAAATCCTGAGGGAGAACAAAAATATGCAGTCAGATAAGGTATGCTTTTATTTTGATACACTTTTCTCATAAGGTGTTGAATCCTTCTAAAATTTGAAGAGAGAAAATGAGTCAAACATACCAGGATGGAGCTGGTGACACTAGCATGACCATTTGCAGGTGACTGGCGAGACAAATCTGGCGACTCCTTCTGCATCAGCAAATCCAAAAAGAACAAATTATTTCCCCGTCGGACGCAAGAAAGAAAACCTTCATTCTGTCTGCCGTACCTCACATGACATTGACTGGGAGCGGTAACTGGGTACAATCTTAAAAGTGATGCTGCCTCTCATTTCCCTCTGTGGAGATCAGATTACATCATTTCAACATTCAAGCAAAAAACAAAACTAAAATCACTGAGATATGCAAATCCGCATCTTGGTAGCACTACATAACACATAGGCTAACCACTAACTACTGTTAGTTTTTTTTGCCTGGAGGTAAGAGAGTTAGATATACAACTTACCTCAAACTTTCTAGGAGGTTTGATAAAACTGCTAGTTAATTTTCCGACATTAAGACTTGTGTTTTCTAAAATTTAGCTGAACAATTTACAGATTTTACCAAGAACTTTTGTGGTGCTTTTGAATTACTCTCACAGAAAATTAGTGCTAAAAAAATCTCACTTTCATTCTATAGTTCATACTGGACAAAAACCGTTTTAAATATTTAACTTGGGTGATGTGACGTACCAGCATCTTCTGCAGCTGTTCTACCGTCTGATTGGCTACGCTGATGCCATTGATCTCTCGAATCTCATCTCCAACATGCAGCGTCCCTGAGGAAGAAATGCAATTAAAATAGATCCAGATTGAAAAGACTTGGATAAACTCTAATGAGCACATACCTTGTCTGTGAATCATTCCACCATGCATGATACGCGCCACAATACAGTGGTTGAGGTCATTCATTTTAAGAGTAATGCCCTACAACACAAAGAGGAACAGATCAACCACAGAAGATCATAATGACGAAATGTAAAATGTGTGTTTCTCTATTTACAAACCATTGGCTCGTCTGTGTTTTTCTGGAACTGGACCAGCCGGACCCTGGTCACATTCTCCAGGTCCATGTCCCCGTTGGTGCTGTCTGGGGAGTCTCCGTTCAGGTAAGGGGAAGTGGGTGGCGGGGTGACCCTCAGAGCCTCGTCACTGTAAACCTCGTGCGCCACCACATCATGTGTCTGCAGCAGAGCCTGGGTGGGCAGAGATCATCCAGAAGGCTGAGATCGCAGAACAACAACCGGATATTCCAAGTCATAGCCATTTGCCTCACTACGTCAATGAGAAATCAGAGATTCTAACATTAGGAGAGGCATGGTTTTCCTCATGCTGCCACTTTAAATCCTTTTGCATTCACTCTGCTAGCAGCAGAGGTAAAATGTCTGTCAGGATGACAATCCGAGTCTGTTCGGGTCAGAGAGCAGAGCAGCCTAATTGGATTGAACCAAATCTGAGGCGTGACGGCTTTGGTAAGGGTCACACACTGGCTCAGCACAGGGACACACCTTATGATGCCACCACAGCAGCGCAATACAACCACTAGCCTTAGTTTACAAAAAAAAACAAAAACAAAAAAACACATCTACACAACTGAATAAAGAGTTAAAAACAAGCCACTAAGCCATTTTACTACCTTGATTTCTTCACAGATTCCAGACTCAACAGCGTCCTCCTCAGGTCTGTTCAGGACCTACAATAGTTCCCCGTTTCTCACGGCGGTTCTCACAGCAAAATCTCAAAATGTAACCACACCGTATTCAGGTTTACAGCAGAGCACCTAATGACTCGCTCTGTGCGTCGCTTCCTCTGCATGCGTCTATCACCCACTGGGGCTTCGCCAAGCTCAGGTGCTAAGCAGCTTTGTGTGGATTGTCAAAAGAGCCCTGGCGTCTGACACACCGGGTCACAGTAACACACACCAATAAGCCCACACTCGACGCAACATGGATCTCTTTGAGAATTAGGAGTGGCTGTTGTGTTAAATGATCCTACCATGAAGTGCGGCTGTGTGAGGATCCTCCTGAGCTCCTTGGCTTCCATGTTCTCCGGGTAACAGGCGATGGTTTCCAGTACCTGCGCAGACATTAGGTGTGTTATTTTGTAGCGTTTAGATCATAAAATGGATAGCGTGTGAAAATCGACTGCCTCACCTCTTTGGCTCTCTGCACTCCGTCACTTGGAGGGTTTCTAATCTGAGGGGACGACCTGGTGTTGATTTTGTCATACAGCTGAAAAACATAATGACGACAATACAGACCAAGGATGCCAACAAAAGCAACAATTTAAACATATTCCTGATTGATTCTGACACCTAGTGGGCAGTTTTGATATTATAGAGGTAAGGTAATTTTATTTATATAGAACATTTTCAGCAACAAGGCAATTCAAAGTGCTTTACATGAGTTAAAAGGAAATGCAAACAAAATAAACCAAAGGAAAGAAAAAAGAGGAAAAAGGTTGAGATGAACTCACATCTAACAGGGTGTGGAGGTGCTGATCCTGGAAGACGCTGTGCAGGAAGTCCATGTCTTTCTCACTGCAGTCCGTCAACGCATGAATCTCCTCTAGACTGTCCAAAACCTGCGATACTGCCCCTGAGCACACATGCATGCACACGTTATACCATCATCCTGACTGTAGCCAAACATAAACATTCACAAAGATACAAAGCATTCAGCACTAGACAAACACGAAAACACCAAACATCTAGTCACAGACAAAGGTTGCAACATCTACAAACGAGCAAAAGGAAAAAGTGCCACTCACAAAAAAGAGCACAAAAGTAAGGAGTCACAACACAGAAAAACACACATACACAAAACTATTTAACCCCCAAGTACCTGCTGCATCGCCCATACATGCAGCAAAACCAGAGAAACAGCGGTACATGGCATCAATAGAAAAGTCAGAGGAAAGTCACTTCAAAAAGTCACAGTTTGGGAAAGGGGCAGTGGGCAGTACACTCAAGAAAAATATGTGGAAAATAAA